CATTTTTTTGTCTAAAGCAAGATGCATGCATGCATCATAATTAATTGATCTGTTAACCTTATCTTCCGTATGTACAAATCTGTAAATAACTGCTATGCAACCAAGATAAAAAAGGACATTCTGAAATAAATATAATAAACCACACATAAATTTATCTTGATTAAAATATAAATAGCACAATTTGTTTTATTCTTAAATATGAAAAAATAGGACATAAAATATTTGTAGGTAGTTAACTACCATGCATATATTTATTTCTTGACAAGTGTTTTTTCAGTCGTTCTCTCAGATTTGCAATAACGATCATCACACACACATCGGTCAGATGTTTTTGCATCTATTCTGTACAGAAGGGTATTGTCCATGTCGGGGGAGATCTCTGAACTTTATCTTGTGTAGTAACTTCTGCAATGTTTACATTACTTCTTATTACATTACATTATCTGGACTTCACAAACCCATCACGGTCAGGTTTTATGATCTGTGGGAGTCGATCTTTCAGTCTTATGTGCTAAAACCTTGCCTGCTATCTTCAAGTCGGCATTGAGTAAGCCCATAGGCCAGATTGATGGATGTGGGCTTTTCTTCCGTTTTTTAAAAGCTAATGGTTGCAAACGTTTTAAGCATCTGTCATTTAGAGCTGGCGAAACATAAGTCAAAGACCAGGTAAGAACGGTACAGAGAATTAATGTGGGAAATGTTTGCTCTTTAGTGATACTGTGATACTTTTCAAGAACAAAAATATGTAGATAAGATAAAAAAATTTAATACAAAATGATAAAGTAAATAAATAAAAACAACTCTGTAAGTAAATTGCATATTTCTATTTATTTTAACGCAAGATTGCAAAATTATAAATATATAGCCAATTTATTGTTGGAAAGTGTATTTAAATTGTCTATTAGATGCTGAAATGAGCTTACTGGTAAATAATAAATTTAATGGTATTAATAATGCTTAATGGTAACAATAATAAATTTACAGAAAGTAATTTTTATTTATATTTATTCATATACTCATATTTTTTAAATAACTATAAATAAACAAATAAATAAATAAAAAAGACAACTTTGGGTTGTTAACAGGGAAATAAAATAAGTATAAACAAATATACATTTGATGAATCTTGATTTGAGGAATTTTTATGGTTTTACACAGATTAATTAAGGTCAGATGTAGCATGAATGCATTTATATTACAAAATAGCAATACAAAATCAACGTATTGTACTCTGTACATTTAATTAAATAAATAAAAAAATCTGCAAAATTCAATAACCTTTTTGAACATTTCTGAAAATAATCTACTATATCTATGATATCTTGTGTATATATATCTATGGATGGCGATGAGCAGTGGTGCCTGCAGCCGTTTGGATGAGACGGCGCAAATTAATGCCGCTTTTTTATTTATTTATTACACAATTTAAATAGACTATGAAACAGTAGACACTACGATATGACAACAAATACAGGTGTGCGTTTGTGTGTTTTAAAGCATTTTTACCGCACCTAAAAATTAGCATTCAGACAGCTATGGTTTAAAACAAGGTTCAAAAAGAGTAAACGCTCTTTAAAACAGATAAACTTAATTGAGACATTTGCCGTAAGGCTTAAAACTAATGAGACAAAAACTGATCCCCACTACTGACACAGCAGCTGCTGCGCTGCCTCCTTGCATGGAACCGCTACCATTCAAGGTGTTTTAAACAATTTTATCAGACAGACTGGCATAAATAAAAAGACATCTCCATTCTCACAAGGAGTTTCTGAGTTTTCTTACCCTTCCAACTGAGTTTGTTCCACAGAGGTGATGTGGGAACATGTTCAGTGCTGTTGCAAATACTTTTTAAATGCCTGTCCTGCTCATTCAAATTATTTGATTAAATGAATTAAATTGTAATTGACCGGTGCAACATGGAAAACAGTTTAATATAGGCTTCTCTGAAACTGAAGATTTCACTTTAATTTTATTTGGGCTAGAATATTGTTTTATTTCACAATCCAGTTCGTGATTCGGCATTGTTGAAGCATAGTGGATTTGAAGCACTTCACCTCAAATGTTATTCATTCTTCTATTTTATCTAGAAGATAAGTGACCAAGAAAAATATTTAACCAAAGATACAAATAATAATAATAATAATAATAATAATAATAATAATAATAATAATAATAATAATAATAATAATAATAATAATAATAATAATAATAATAATAATAATAATAATAATAATAATAATAATAGGGCGAGGCAGTGGCGCAGTAGGTAGTGCTGTTGCCTCACAGCAAGAAGGTCACTGGTTTGAACCTCGGCTCAGTTGGTGTTTCTGTGTGGAGTTTGCATGTTCTCCCTGCCTTCGCGTGGGTTTCCTCCGCGTACTCCTGTTTCCCCCACAGTCCAAAGACATGCGGTCCAGGTAATTTGGGTAGGCTAAATTGTCTGTAGTGTGTGAATGTGTGTGTGGATGTTTCCCAGAGACAGGTTACAGCTGGAAGGGCATCCGCTGCGTAAAAACTTGCTGGATAAGTTGGCGGTTCATTCCGCTGTGGCGACCCCGGATTAATAAAGGGACTGAGCTGACAAGAAAATTAATGAATGAATAATAATAATACATTTTATTTATATAGCGCCTTTCCAGAGCTCAAGGACACTTTACAAAAAATGCAACAAAAAGATAAACAAACATACATGAAGTCAAATATAACAAACTGGAATTACACAAACAAGACCTAGGGGACAATTGAGCAGAGTGGAGGTGGATCAGATAAAGTGGTCAGTTTGGCAGATCAGAAGTGAAGCATTCAGAAAATAAGTGAGTCTTAAGCAAGGATTTAAATTCAGAGATATTATGAGCAGAGCGGAGTGAGCGTGGTAGAGAGTTCCAGAGTTTAGGGGCAATAACACTAAATGATCTGCCCCCCATTGAAGAGAGGCGGTACAGAGGGACAGGGAGAAGGCCAGAGTCAGCGGACCGTAATGAACGAGTTGGGGTGTAGGGGACAAGCATGTTGCAGAGATGGGAGGCAGCTAGGCTATTTAGGGATCTAAATGCAAGGAGAAGAATTTTGAATTTAATGCGATATGCAACTGGGAGCCAATGGAGGTCATATAAGATGTGAGCAGAACGTTTGATATACGAAATTTGTTTTTAAAAGAATTTTTCCCATGAAAAATAAACAAATTATATTTTTGTTTGAGCTTGTCCACGACTCAACTGTGCGGGGGGATGATTTCCGGTCAGTGGAAAGTAAGGATTTAATTAATGCTTTACTAATTGTGTTGTAACACAATCTTCTGTCATATATTTGCAGTTTTTTTAATATGTCATAATTTTAAGGATTACGTCTTGAGCGTCTGATTTTTCCTTGGTGCCAATGTGCTTTTATTACATTTAGATTTCAACGAAATATTAAAATTAAAAAGGAAACAAATTATGTTATAACGAATGCCCTTAAATGATGTCTTTGACAGTAAGCATCCGTGTTTCTAGACTTGATTGGGGGAAGGGGGCGAGGCGGTGCTGAGTTTGTGCATGTAACGGAGGCCAGCTAGTAAGTGCTGTGCAGGTAAACGCGACTGACGCTAGAGGCCATGGTCTTTAGCCTCCTTGGTAGAGCAACCGACTTCTGTGCGGAAGGTTGCCGGTTCGATACCAGCTTGAAGCGGGTTGGGTGGTGCATGACCAGTGGGGTTACATGTACCCTGGAATAAAATCCTGCAGACGCCCCTGGCGACGAGTGACTCTCATAAGCGAGTTATTGAGTCATTCATAAAAACAATTCATTCAGATGGTTGATTCATTTAGGACAGCTCATTGAAACACTTGATTTGAACCATGAAAACACTGCTGTGGAGATCCACAACAGTTATGCTGCCATGTGGAGCATTTTATTTAGGCTTGAAAACATTTTAAAATAAGTATAAAAATGGCGGCATATCCTTTATTTTCACATCCCGATGCTGACACGTATGATGGAGCTGTTTTTCGTAAAAGTAGTAGAGGCAGTGTTAAGTTAAAACGGTAAGAACAGGTGTCTAAAATGTAAGTCACGATACATGCTTGAACTCTTATTAAGTTCACTTTATTTCTTCAGAAGAGTTTCTCTCACAGATATAATGTTTTAGTTACAGTAGAGAGTCTGCTTGGGCCTTGGCCAAACTTCATCACCTAGTTTGATGTTTAAGGTCACTTGTTCAGTCAGTCAAGTAAATTCTCTTTCACCTGCCCTTTCACGAAATCCACTTGTCCGGGAAAAGTGTTAATGTCGACCCCTGTCATTAAAATTCAACCCTCCAAACTGACACACACACACACAGACATACACACACGTTTGTTTTTGTGAATTGTGGGGACATTCCATAGTTTTTCTTTCATTCATTTTCTTTTAGCTTAGTCCCTTTATTCATATGGAGTTTTCACCACCAACTATTCCAGCATATGTTTTTACACCGCGGATGTGGAAAACACCCATACACTTGGCCAATTTAGATTATTCAATTCACGTATGTGTTTGGACTGTGGGGGAAACCGGAGCACCTGGAGGAAACCCACGCCAACATGGAGAGAACATGCAAACTCCACACAGAAACACCAACTTGCTCAGTCGGGACTCAAATCAGCGTCCTTCTTGCCTTTAGGCGACAGTGCTAACCACTGAGCCACCCTGCCACCCAGCTCTTTATATTCATTCATTTTCTTTTCGGCTTAGTCCCTTTATTAATCAGGGGTCACCAATGTGGAATGAACCGCCAAATTATCCAGCATATGTTTTATGCCCTTCCAGCTGCAACCTATTACTGGAAAACACCCATACACACTCATTCACACACATACACTACGACCAATTTTGCTTACCCAATTCAGCTCTGTATATATATATATATATATATATATATATATATATATATATATATATATATATATATATATATATATATATATATATATATATATATTTGTGTAGAACATGTCATCAGATTATCGTTATTTTCTGTCTAGGTTCAGGTTGTGAGTCGGGATTTTTCCGTTGCGGGACGGGCCGGTGTATTCCAGTCAGTCAGAGATGCGATGGGACAAACGACTGTTCGGATAACTCAGATGAAATTGGCTGCCGTATGTATCAATCTTTTCTTTTCTTTTCTTTTCTTTTCTTTTCTTTTCTTTTCTTTTCTTTTCTTTTCTTTTCTTTTCCTTTCTTTTCTTCACAGTTTCTTACAACAAGGGCACACTGGATACTGCATGCCAGGGGCACAATTGCACATTTACTGAGGATTATGTGGGTTCAAGTTTTTTTTTCATTTTTTATTTTGCGCTCCACGTCTCTTGATTTTTCTTTCTATTTTGAACATGTAACTGTAACCGATCAACGAAATAATATCCAGGTGCAACAGATCAAATGGTCAGCGGAGGGGGAGGGGTGGTATAATTTTATATTTAATAAAATACAATAATATATCCATATAAAATGCAAAATAAACATTTTCGACAAAAATTATTTATTTCTTTTTATTATGTGAAACTTTTAATAAGGATAATTTTTAAAATATGGGGCGCCGCATTTACTGCATACCCTCTTTTTGCGCCCCTGAATACTGCTAAAAACTGGCAAGTGTGAAATAGACAGTTGTGGAAGAAATTGTGAAAACACCAAAATGCTAATTTTTTTTTTCTGTAAAGGTCTGGTGACATTTCTTCTAAATTAAAGAGCCCATATTATACATGAAATAGGGTCATATCTTGGTTGTAAGGGTCTCCAACAACAGTCTAATATGCATGCAAGGTCAAAAAACACTTTCATGGTCTTATAATCTGCATTTATTTTTACCTAATTATCCCAGCGACTCCTGTATGAATCGTTCAGTGATTCATTTGTTCCCAAACCCCTCCTTAGCGCGAAGCTAATCTGCGCTGATTGGACCGATGACAGTCTGTCGCGATTGGTCGACTGCCTTCAGTCAGAGAGTGAAATGGCCAATAGCTAATCAGCAATTTAAAAAGTAATCACAGTTCATACACGCTAGATAGTGTAGGCGTGGATTTTAGCTGCCACACACACACAAACACACACCTCCGGACGAGAACGCTCCCGCTTCCGCCCGCACCCGCCAGGTTTTAGCCTTAGAACCCGCCCCGTATTCTGCCCGCCGCGCCCGATCCCGCTAAAGAGCGGGGGAGAACAAAACCGAAAATCTGTATAAACACACACACAGCACCAAGCATAAAGCTCTCGCTCGCTCGCTCGCTCGCTCTCTCTCTCTCGCTCTCTCTCTCTCTCTCTCTCTCTCTCTCTCTCTCTCTCTCTCTCTCTCTCTCTCTCTCTCTCTCTCTCTCTCTCTCTCTCTCTCTCTCTCTCTCTCTCTCTCATACGCGCGCGTGCGCACTAACACACAAGCACCAAGCAGACACATCTTTCTCTTTCTCAGGCAGCCCGCTCCCGTCCCAAATCAAACCCGTTACCGACCGCTCCGGCGATTTATTCGGAAATTTATTCCCGCGCCGCAGAAATCTGGCGCGGGGACAGCCGCGGGTATGCACACCTCTAACGTTACCACGGAGCTCCATAAACAAAGCAGCACACGTCGCGTTTTTAACGTGACTTTGCACGCGATAAGAGAATATAGCCAGTTAACCTGATACAGTACACGCGGTTACAAGTAATAAATCACAACTAAATACATTTGCAAGCTAGAGTCAACGAGGCAACAACTTTAACCGCACGTACTTACAGTTGAGAAATGGAAGAAACCCATCCTGATGTCCATCAGTAAGTTACTGATCCTTCCTTTAACAAACGCAGATGAAGTATTCTTTGTAGCATGTAGCTTCCAGAAGTTTCCAGTATTTTCCAACTGCTTGGCTATAATGCTGAGGTTTCATCTTTGGGTAGAGACTCAATATATCCATCTGCAATGTGACTTCAATCGACCGGCATGTTTGTGTGCGTGTGTTTGTGGGTGTGTGTGTGTGTGTGTGTGTGTCTGGGTTACTGCGTCAGAGGGCGGGGCCTCAGGTTTGAAATCTCCCGGGTTTGCGCGTGCACGTGAATAACTTTGTTTCGTTCGTACGTCATGGCGAAACACCTAATGAGTCGGTATCAAGGCGACTCGTTTGAAGCACTATGAATCGACTCTTTTATAGATGAATCAACAGTTTTAAACACTGTACTCTTACAGATTTAAGCCTTAGCTGGATACTTCACTTCACTTAGAGCTGTGTTACACACTACATGGAGGGGAATTTTCAAAAACCCATAATATGGGCTCTTTAAAATAAAATTATTGTCATTTTGATCCTTTTGTGTTTTGGCAGTTGGACAGAAAATCAGATTGTTATTATATTTTGTGAACAGCAGGGTTATTTCATTAAACATTTAAAGTTGTTAAAGTAATTACTTTAAAATAATAATTTAATAATAAATTTTAGCTTATTTATTTACTAACAAACTAAATATGAACAGTTTTGTGCAGCATTTATTCATCATAGAAAGTTCAGCATTTTCTAATGCATTATTCAAGTCCAATGCTGTGCTTGTTAACCTTAGTTAATGCACTGTGAGTTAACATGAACTAAAAAAGACCAACATTATTTTATTTACTAACATTAACAAATAAGACAAAAAATTTAATAAATGCGTTGCTTATTGTTTTGTAAATGTAAAGCTAACATAGTATTAGTTAATATTAGGTAATATATTTACAAATATGAACAATCAACAATACATTTGTTACAGCATTTTTACTTTATTTTTACATTACATAATTTAATTACATTACTTTACATTGTATTTTACAGTAGATTTAATTAAATAACATGTAACGCATTACAATAAGTTTGTATTAGTTAATGTTCCCAGCAAGCAAAGGACGTCAAAATTATATAATTTTTGTACCCCAATCTCATAGGACATTGCATTTTGTTTGGACATGGAAATAGATTGATGTCAGAACCCGACGTCAAGGTCCAATGTCCAACCTAAAATCAATCAAATATCAATGTCTAATGATGTTACAGTTTGACGTTGTGTGGACATTACCGCTATGACGTCTATCGGTTGTTGGATTTTGGTTGTCATACCCGACGGCTAAATGTCAGTATTTGACGTAAATATGACGTTGGTTTAAGATGTTGGCGGGACGTTGGATTTTGGTTACTTCTCAACTAAACCTAAAATCAACCAAATATCAACGTCTAATGATGTTACAGCTTGACATTGTGTGGACATTACCACTATGACATCTATTAGATGTTGGATTTTGGTTGCCATACCTGACGACTAAATGTCAGTATTTGACGTCAATATGACGTTGGTTTAAGATGTTGGCTCGACGTTGGATTTTGGCCACTTTCCAACGAAACCTAAATCAACCAAATATCAACGTCTAATGATGGTACAGCTTGAGTTTGTGTGGACATTACCACTATGATGTCTATTAGATGTTGGATTTTGGTTGCCATACCTGACGAATAATTGTCAGTATTTGACGTCAATATGATGTTGGTTTAAGATGTTGGCCCAGCGTTGGATTTTGGTCACTTTCCAACGAAATCTATTAGTTGCCTTTACTTAAAAAAAAAAATTAAAATTTGCCTTATAATTAGTAAACAAACTACATGCATAACTGTAGTAATGGTTAACGTGTCACGTGATTGTGGTGGAGGGTCACCGGGGTTATGTAATGCGCTTATAGGTGGCACCTGTTCATTCACAACTTAGGAAGGAGAGAAAGAGGGGGTGAACGGGGACGCGGTACTCTTTGTTGACCAAACAAACACAAACGAAACCAAACTTAAGCCCAAATCAAATTCTACACTGTCAAAAGATCAAGGTATGTTTCATATTGGAAAATAAACGAGTGAAGACATTGGAATGACTTCTTGCCTTGTGTACATTTGATGTTTGCGTCACAAAACATGTCTCTGGTTTAGCCTCTCAGCTGTTACTCCACGTAGCCGCTACAATAACTATAAAAGTTAAGTCAATGGGTTTACTCACTTATTAATAGTAAAGTAGCCAATCGCTTTTTACAGTGTAACAAAGGCTGTACAAGTATTGCTCATACTTAGTTCATGTTAGTAAATACCCTAACTAATGAAACCTTATTGTGACCAATATATTAGCTAACATTAACATTTGGTTAATTGGTGTTACCAAAAAGTGCACATCTTGTCATACTTATTTCCCCTTTCCATGTCATTTCTTACATTCCTCCTCATATGGAGCCTGTCAATAAAAGTCGAGCTCTTTTGAAAGGAATCCTCTCAGCTCAGGCCAGCTCAGGTCTCCTCTGTCCCGGCTAACAAAGCTCTCTTACTGCTCTCTTCCAGCTCAGCCCACCTGCGAGAGCGCTCAGTTCCAGTGCTTGAGTGACGGCGAGTGCATTCCTCAGCACTGGGTCTGCGATGATGAGGAAGATTGCGAAGATGGCTCCGATGAAAGGCAGCACTGCCGTGAGTACTACTTATCTCCATTTAGAGCTGTGCAATATGTCAATATACAGCTGAAGTCAGAATTATTTGCCCCCCTGAATATTTTTTCTCCAATTTCTGCTTTAGGGAGAGAAGTTTGTTTTTCAGCACATTTCTAAACAGAATAGTTTTAATGACTCATTTCTAATAACTGATTTATTTTATCTCTGCCAAGATTACAGTAAATAACATTTGACTAGATATATTTCAAGATGCTTAAAGTGACATTTAAAGGCTTAACTAGGGTATGTAGGGTAAGTTAAGGTAATTAGGCAAGTCATTTTATAACGATGGTTGTTCTGTAGACCAGCGGTTCCCAACAGGGGGTCCCAGCCCACAAGGGGGCATGAGTGAGCTCTATGTGGCTTTGCATAATTTTTAGCAGTGGATAATTAAGAGAATGATCATGTTGCTTTAGTTTCATTTTATCCCCTGGCTGCCTAAAAAATGGACAAATTTGTAATTCGTCCTCCATAAAAAAAAAAAAAAAGAGTCGCTGATTCGCCTTTAGCAGCTAATTGTAAAGACCCAAGCAAACTGGACCCAGCTGAGGGCGCTCTAAACATTCCGGTCCGCAGCGCTGACAATACTGGAAACACAAAATGCAGGAAATACCAAAATAGTAACCTGAACTATGGTTTTATTCCATTTTCTCGAAGCAAAGAGTCCCTGACCCAGCTACAGTGTATTATCTGCACCAAAGTTCTTGCTAACGAATGTATGAGACGGTCTAAATTAATAAGACATTTGCAGACGATTCGTCTCTAATATTTTGATGGTCCCTATTGCACATTTTGTTTACTACATGGCAATTAATTCTCATTTGAGTATTAGTAGACTGTCTGCTTAATATCTGCTGATACTGCTCCTTCAACAGACATTTAACTGACTAAAAGAACTTTGCAAGTACACGTCAACGTACACTAACCCCAACCCTAACAGCCTGCTTATAATCTATTGAGAATTAGTTGGCATGCAGATGGAATGTAACCTAAATTCAACAAAATGCTTTAAAGGCAAGATCAAAATAAAGTGATACCAAGAAATGCAATCCAAAAATTTGTTTTTATTGGTGGGGCAGTGAGAGGGGTTAATAATATTAACCTTAAAATTGTTTTTTTTTTTTTTTTTATTAAAAATGCTTTTATTCTAGCTGAAATAAAACAAATAAGACTTTCTTCAGAAGAAAAAAAAAATATTATACTGAATACTGTGAAAAATCCCCTGCTCTGTTAAACAGCATTTAGGAAATATTTGAAAAAGAGGGCTACTAATTTAGACTTCAATTGTATATTGTATGAACAAATTTAAAATCATATTGCTTCATATTATACTCTTATTGTTTATATTGTGGGGTCACAAAATCAATTTTTTTCACAGTAAGAATTTTTCATCATTTTCTATGAGCACAATATTACACACCATTATGGGAATACAGACACAAATATGAATAACATCATTGTGAGAAAGTCCCAGTCATGGAGGTACATTAGTGTTTTATTTAGCAATATTTTTCATTTTAATGTTGGATCTGTAATCATGCTTTTGAAAAGTGTTTTATTAATAATTATTTTATAAACATTTGATTGAAGTTCTGAATGAACCGAGAATTATGTTCACATAGGAATAAGTCAATTTCTGAATATATACTTTATGCAAAAATCACTTTTATAATGGGTTTAAACACAGTCCTGTGGCAACAGTCTGTAAATATAACCAGCTTCTAATGGTAAAAGTCTATTAATGCTATTTTTTATAATCACATTTCATAAAAGCATGCAGCAGAAACACTTTGATTGACATTTTCACTTTGTACGTGCCATCAGAGGGTTAGATAGGATAGGATAGGATAGGATAGGATAGGATAGGATAGGATAGGATAGGATAAACTTTATTTGTCTCAGAGAGGAAATCTATCTTGGGCATAAAGGTGCTACAACATCGCTCTAAGCAGACAATAAAATAAATACAACAAGAAAGCCCCGCCCATTATTGACAATCACTCCCACAGTAGCATTGAAGATTAGTCTTGTTTTTAATCTGCCACTTTGCTGACACATTTAGCATTTGTAGCTCCGCCCTCTTTTGAAAAGAGCACAATCTTAATATGAATTTAAAGCAACGGTCAAGAGAGATGGAGTTTACTTTCTTTCTCTCAATTGCAGTGAAATAGGGGCTTCTGCTCTAAGTGTCAGTGAAAGACTGTCCAGCAAACACACACACAGTGAAATTGTAGGAGGAGGCATTGAAGATGAATCCAAAGAATCTTGATGAACTCTGGGAGTCCTGCAAGAACGCTTTCTTTGCCGTTCCAGATGACTTTATTAATACGTGATTTAAGTCATTGCAGAGATGTGTGGATGCAGTCCTCCAAGCTCATGATGGAGTCATACACACTATTCATTCTTTCTCCACTGCAGCATGACTTTACATTCTAAACTAGGCATTATTTCTGTTAGGTGACAAGACTTTTGTCTGCGCAAAGTCAGACCTTACTGTCCTAATTACATAATTAAAAATCAAGACATGATCATATTTTGTTTTGGTTAAAAAGGCGCAATCTAGAGGCCTTTGCCTTTCATATAAGCCCCTTCTGATACCAAATGATCAACTAGAAGTCAAGTTATTATTTGTTGTTCCTAAAACTTGGATAGATGACAAGACTTTTGTCAGGTAGTGTACTTATCATTATCAGCATATGAAATGACTTCAAGACTTCACACTTAGCTGATGATTGATTATAAAGCTTGTTTGGCATGTTGTCCTGGAAGAGAGCTCAAAAGATCCTCGAGCCCAGGGCTCCCTCCCATTTGCAAGGCGAGAGGGGAGTTTGAGCTCAGGTAGATCTCAAGAACTCCCCTGCTGAAGTAGATAATGAACAGATAGCGATTGCTCTTAAGAGATAACTACTTACTCTGAGCATGTCTATGGTGCCGATTTGGATTAGTCAGTTAACTTTGCATGTTTTTGGACGTTGGGAGGAAACCGGGGAATCCAGGGAAAACCCACGTGAGCACGGGGAGAACATGTAAACTCCGCACAGAAATGTCAGCTGACTTGGTAAGGACTAGAACCAGTCACGTTTTTGCTGTGAGGCAAGAGTGCTAACCACTGGGCCACCGTGCCACCCATCTAGGAAAGGAAGAGGAGTAGGGGTAGAAGGGGGATTCTTCAAAACAAAGATGGCTGTCATATGGAACTGAGGGTATTCATAGTGGCTTAGGAATCGTCTGATTGGTGAATCATAAATTGAATAATGCGGGGCCGGCTGCAAGCAATCATAAGCACGTGATCCTCTTGAAATTAGTTCATAAATAACTTCACATATCAAGATATGAGATTTTGATCATGTCTCCATCCATCTCTTCCCTGCTTTCTGCCTCACTTTCAATTACCAGCTGAGGGCTCCGTTGATTCACAGTAATGCAATTTCCGTCATGTCAGAGAAAGAAACACGATAGCTCAGATGTCGAGTCTGAAACACAAAGGGAGAAGCGTGCACGTGTTGTAGAGAGAGTTTGTGCCGCTTTAGTGATGATGAAGACCACCCAGCGCTGGTCTATTATATTGATGTGTGTTTCTTTGATGTTTGCTGGCAGCTGGCAGGACGTGCTCCAGTTCACAGTTCACCTGCACCAACGGGGCCTGCATCCCTGGAGGATACAGGTGTGACAGAGTGCCCGACTGTCTGGATGGAGCAGACGAGAGGAACTGCTGTAAGTGTGCTCGTGACATCTGATCAAGCCTGTTTACAGCTGCTCACTGCATGGTAGTGTGTGTGTGTCACTGTCTGTGTGCGTGTGTGCGCCCATGTGTTTGTGTGTGTGTCTGTCTGTGTGTCTGTCTGTCTGTGTGTTTTTCTGTCTGTCTATCGGTGTGTGTGTGTGTGTGTGTGTGTGTGTGTGTGTGTGTGTGTTTGTGTGTGTGTGTTTGTATGTCTGTCTGTCTGTCTGTCTGTCTGTCTGTCTGTGTGTGTTTTTTCTGTCCGTCTGTGTTTGTGTGTGTGTGTGTTTGTCTGTCTGTCTGTGTGTGTGTGTTTCTGTCTGTCGGTGTGTGTGTGTGCGCCTCTCTCTCTGTGTATCTGTCTATGTGTGTGTGTGTGTGTGTGTGTCTGCCTCTGTGTGTGTTTCTGTCTGTCAGTGTGTGTGTGTGTGTGTGTGTGTTTGTGTTTGTCTGTTTGTGTGTGTCTCTCTGTGTGTGTGTGTGTGTGTTTGTATGTCTGTCTGTGTGTGTTTTTTCTGTCTGTCGGTGTGTGTTTGTGTGTGTGTGTGTTTGTCTGTCTGTCGGTGTGTTTTTGTGTGTGTGTGTGTGTGTTTGTCTATCTGTCTGTGTGTGTGTTTCTGTCTGTCGGTGTGTGTGTGTGTGTCTCTCTCTCTGTGTATCTGTCTGTGTGTGTTACTGTCTCTCAGTGTGTGTGTGTGTGTGTATGTGTGTGTGTGTGTGTGTGTGTGTGTGTGTGTTTGTGTGTTTTCCATCTGTCTGTGTATATCTTACTGTTTGTGTGTGTGTGTGTGTGTTTGTGTGTCTGTCTGTGTGTGTGTGTGTGCGCCTGTGCCTGTCTCTCTCTGTGTACCTGTGTGTGTGTGTCTGTCAGTGTGTGTGTGTGTGTCTGTGTTTGTGTGTGTGTGTTTTCTTCACCCCTCAAAGGCTCCTGTGGCATTTTAATCAATTTGTAAGATTAAGAGTCTCGCTGATGGACAGAAATGGCCACAATATGCTTCTTGTTAGTCCGAGTTGATTGCAGATTCCAGTGTGGATTAGCGCGAGTGTCAGTTCAGCGTCTGTGCCATCATTCAGCTTTCATCACACACTGCTTTACTCTCGCTCACAGAAGTGTGTGTTTGTTTTCTGCATTAGCTTGATACCGCTTTTTTTCTTGCTCATTAATGCAACACCGGCTCATTGTGAATGCGTACCTACCTATACATTTCTAGAGAGCGCAAATTATGTAGCCAGAGCTACGTATGGCTGCTTTTTGTCTTTAAAATGAAGACTACTGGCTTACCAGCTGACTGCTTAACTCTGTGTGGCCAGCCTTTATGCTGTTACCAGTTTGCCCAGTAGCTCACCATGTTTGTTGGCATACTTGAGAAACAGAGATGAGTTGACTGTCCAGTGAAGAACGGTTCCAGAAAGTAGGTAAATCAAAAACAAAAGACAAAAAATAAAACAAACATGTGAATATCAGCGGGAGAACGTGGTTAGATCTGAAAACGTAATAAAAATCAGGTGGCCACAAGGGCTTTTTTTTTCAGAATTTTGAAAACACTGTTGGTTAGGTTTAGTGAAGGGGGTGGTGGGGGGGGGGGGTATTGGTCAGTCATTCAGTTGGTCAGTCAGTAGACAACTATTTAAGGCTGATTTAGGCAACCCAGGCTCATTCTGAAAATATAGTCCCATGGACGTTTCTGGAGACCACGAAATACGTCTCAGGAGGTACATATTTTTGCAGTTTTTTGTTTTTGCGAATCCGCAAAAGGCTGCTGTGTTTAGAAACGTTTAGACGATTTAGAAAAGCCGTCCAGAAAAAAAAGCCTACGCTGATTTTTACCACTCTTTCGGATTTTACCACATTCTCACCCTGTTGTTCACTTGTTCATTTTATTTTTTGATTCTGTTTTTGTCTTACCTGATTTTTGGAACCGCTCTTCCCGGGACTCGAACCCAGTCGTCGTCATGGTCAACTCCTTCTCTGCGTCTCAAGTCCGTCAAGATATACGACAAGCTAACCGGACAAACTGGTTGCGGCGGGAAAGCCCTCCACACGGGGGTAAGCGGTCAGCTGGTGAGCACCAAAAGAAACGGCGTCATACCGCCATGTAGCGATAGCTTAAAAAAATTAAATGCAGCCATACTTACCTCCAGCTACGTAATTCGCAGTCTCCAGAAACGTCCACGGGAATACGTTTTCAAAATTAACCTGGGTTGGATTTAGAGGCCGATCACACCGAACTTGCTTTGTGCGTTGAGAGGCGCCTTTTTAAACGATTTACTAATGGCCGCGTGTTTTGTGCGCTACTTATGTGCCCTGCCTGCCTCACGTTTTAACCGCCTGCTGCTCCTTTGCATTTCCCACTGTGCACCTGCAGTTGAAAAAAGTAAACTCTGAGCAGAAAAAGTGCATTACGTCAGTTGCGTCTTTTTCATTCTCCAATCAAATGAAAGTAGAGGCGGGTTTCCGTTGAGGTGTCAGCCATGTTTGTGTTGTCAAGATGGCTTCAGAGACTTTTGAAGATGGAGGAGAGACTTGTGGTTGCTGTTTCGAGTTATCCAGAGCTGTATGACTTCACAAATCTTGAATATCACAATGTTATTACTTTTTTAAATGATATTAATATCAACAGCAACACTTTCGCTCAAAACCCAGCTGATTTAGTCATTGCCTAGCTACATAAAAAGCACACATCGCTTTTTTTCTTTTCAAAAGTTAGTTAGGAAAAGTTAGTTTGGTGTGATCGACCCTTAATATTTCTGAGCCAAGCGCACACGTATGGTCCGGCACAGCCTTCGTGCGGTCGCAAAGCCCTCGCCGTTACTGAAGCTGGTGCGCACCTCTCAAAAAATGTGACTTTGTTGTGATTAGTTAACTTTGCAGTGCTGACGAGTGTGGGCGGGGGTGAGAGTTGCGCGAATCCCATTGGAGTGAATGTTTACAAGTGTGGAGTTCTGTAAAGGAGCTCCAGGTGGAAACTGTTAATCTGTGTCTACCTTATGATTAAAGTTGTTGCACATCCAGTAGTTCCACCTCTGAATAAGTGAGTTTTATCTACTTGTACATTAAGGTAGAAAAAACAAAACACCAGCGAAGAAATTTGACATAGAGGAACATAAAAACCTACTGCTCACTAGAGTTTCGTAAGTGTTGTTGCAGAGCAACACAAAGAGTGTGCAAAAATATTAGTGCACGGCATCGTGGAAGGCATACGCCATGGGTCACGCCAATCACTTGACGTTGAAGTATAAACCAGTCTTCACGTGAGAACAGCAGTCGCAAATAGCACTCGTGAGAGAAATTTGAGATCTGAAAAAACGTACACAGCAGCCTCTGGTGGATTTACAAAAACAAAAACTGCAGCTCCTGTGACGTATCTGCCGCTCTCCAGAAATGTACATAGGGGTATGTGTCAATAATGAGCCTGGGTTGCATTAAGAAAACCCCCTCAGTGTTGTATATACTGTATTGTATTACGCAGTGGTTGTTTACTTTAATTCATCTTTATCTTTATTTTTATAGCGCTTTTAAAATGTAGATTGAATGTCAAGCAGCTTAACATAGACGTTTTAGTTAATTGAGTCTGCTTCAGTCCAGTTTTTAGAGTTTAGCTCAGTACAGTGTAATGTAAATGTCACTGCTGAAAGCCCAACAACCTTTTAGTGCTGTTCACTTGAATGAGTGATGGCTGTGCTTTTTTTTTTTTCAGTTTACCCAGAATGCTCGGAGCTGAGGTGCGCTAACGGGGCATGTTTTAATCGGAGCCAGCGCTGTGACCAGGTGCTCAACTGCCGAGACGGCTCAGATGAGGCCAACTGCAGTGAGTGTCTTTCTCTGGCATGCATGAACACATGCCTCACATTTAAAGGGACAGTTCACCCAAAAATTAAATTTTTGTCATTATTTACTCATCTTTTACTCGTTAAAAACCTAACTAGCTTTCTTTTTTATACATATACTTTTATAGATATTTTAAAGAAAGCTGGAAACCTGTAACCATTGACTTTCATAGTATTTCTTTTTCCTACTATAGAAAGTCAATAGTTACAGGTTTTTAGCCTTTCTTCAAAATATCTTGTAGCGGATGCCCTTCCAGCTGCAACCCATCACTGGGAAACATCCATACACTCTCACACTCATACGCTAAGGCCAATTTTGTTCATCCAATTCATCTCAGACAGGATTCGAACCAGTTACCTTCTTGCTGTGAAGCAACAGTGGTAACCACTGAGCTACCGTGCCGCCTTTACAGAGTATTATTTGTTATTTATTAAATTACTCAATAAATTGTATTTTTTGTTTTCTACCCCTATAACCCTAAACCCAACCATCACAGTACTGTATACAGTAGGTGCGTCCAAAATCGCATACTTATGCACTATTCTACGCCATTTTGTAGTATAAAAAGTGCAATCAGTGCGTTTACATTGAAAACTCTAAAAATAATTAGTGCACTTTAATTTCCTGGATGATGCACTAGTAAAAAAGTGTTTAATCTTGACGCACCAACGAACTTCACGCACTCAACGACCACAGGTTTGCTCACGTAGCGGAAGGGGCGGAGCTATCGAGCGCACATGTTGGATAACTTTATTTATTTTGGATGGTGAAAGCAAAATTCTCTTACGAGTGTTTATAGCGCCTCCCGATGGTGAATGTGGTTATACTCAGGGCAGGTACTATTTGAGAGTTTGGTCATTTATTTCATTTGGTCATTTATTTTGATTTGGTAACCGTCAAACGTCATCAGGGAAACGGTTAAAATTTCTGCTTAGTAAAAAAAACATTAGTGCTCCATTTGGAACGACACTACATACATGTACTATGCTGTTTAGTGTGTAAGTGCATAAGTACATAGTACATAGTGCAAAGTGTATAGTGTGTCATTTGGGAAGCAGCTAGTGTCACATAAACACTGCAACATTGATGTGCGTATCCGCAGCTCTATCCTATCTAGACTTTACCCTTATTTTTGATTGGTGTATTTTTTTAAATGTGTTGTTTTTACAGTGTTTCATTTATTGGTGAGATCACACATTGTTCTTTTCCTTGGTTGTGTTCAGCCCAGCGGTGCAGCAGTGGTCAGTTTCAGTGCAGTAATGGAGAGTGTATTCCTCGAGGCTACATCTGCGATCATGATGACGATTGCGGAGACAGAAGTGATGAACAAAACTGCAGTACGTACATTTCATTTATTCATTCATTTTCTTTTGCCCCAGTGTCTATTTCAGAGGTCGCCACAGCTGAATGAACTGCCAACTATTTCAGCATATTTTTACGCACGGATGCCCTTCCAGCTTTTTTTATTTATATTGTTTTATTGTTTTTAATCTTTCTAAAAAAATGTATATATATATATATATACATATATATGTGTATATATATATATATATATATATATATACACACACACACACACACACACACACACACGCACACACACACACACACACACACACACACACACACATACACACACACACACATTATAACAACCCAGGCTCATTCTGAAAACGTAGTCCCGTGGATGTTTCTGGAGACCGTGAACTATGTAGCCGGAGGTATGATGACTGCATTAATTTTTTTAAGCGAATGATACGGGACGGTATGACGCCGTTCCTTTTCGCGCTTACCAGCTGACCGCTTACCTTCATGTGGAGGGCTTTCCCGCTGCACCCAGTTTGTCCAGTTAGCTCGTTGTCTATGTCTGCGGACTTGAGACGCAGAGAGGATCTCACCACGATGACGGCGACTGGGTTCGAGACCGGGGAAAAGCGGTTCCAGAAATCAGGAAAGACAAAAACAGAATCCAAAAAATAAAGTGAACAAGGTGAGAATGTGGTAAAATCAGAAAATGTGGTAAAAATCAGACGATGGCTTTTCTTTTTCTGGACGGCTTTTGTAAATTGTTGGTTGGGTTTAGGGAAGTAAGCAGGTGGGCGGGTCAATCGGTAAAATTGGTTGGGTTTAGGGAAGAAGGAGGGTGGGTCAGTGGATGGGCCGGTCGCCCAGTCAATCATTCAGTCAGTCAGACAGACGGTCATTCGACAGCGGCCTCTGGTGGGTTTACGCGAGAACAGCTCAGCCGCGAACGGCACTTGCGAGAGACATTTGAGATACAGAAAAAAAACTGCAAAAATACGTACCTCCCGGGAAGTATTTCTTGGTCTCCAGAAACGTCCACAGGACTACAGTTTCAGAATGAGCTTGGGTTGCATTATAACCTTTGTTTTACCAGGTAAGTCAGTTGATAACTCTCATTCAAAATGACTACCTGGCCAAGAGGCAACATAGAAAGCTAATATGAAGCAGCAGGGACATAATACAATAACAATTTCACAGATGCAGATACCAACATACTGTATAAAACCAACGAAAAACTAAAAATAAACACAGGGATCTTGTACTACTGGACTAAATTTTTGAAGGATGGTAGTAGAATAAAAATGTTGAGCTTTAAAGGGCCATAACCCCCCCCCCCCCTTCCTTCATGATGGGTGTGAAGCGCTGCGAGCAGAGGGAAGAGAGTGGGTGTGGCCGGCAGAGCAGGGTAAAAGAGGGAAGTGAACAACTGCTGTCATTTGGCTCACAAAATGAGACCTAAACCGTGAGGATACCCATGATATTATAGTTAACAAAGTTAAAATGCAAAGAAATAAACAGTAAGTAATTTTATGTCCTTTAATAAATGCTGTACAGGGATCATTCATTATTAGTTTATGTTAGCAAATACATTAACTAGCATCAACTAATTGAACCTTATTGTAAAGTGTGACCAAATAAAACTTGGTTTTTGTTTTATTTTTTATCATTTTTTCATCTGTTTATATTTTTCACTTTTATTTCAGCTGACTATATTTTTGCTGAGACTTTATTTCAGTTTCTCGACCTCAAATCCAACCATAAAGAATTAAAAATGTAACATAAAGTCATACTTTTACTCATTTACTGCACAATTCATCTACAGCCTATCCAACCTGCAGAGGCACTTACTTCACCTGTCCCAGCGGCCGCTGCATCCATCAGGTCTGGCTGTGTGATGGAGAGGATGACTGCGAGGACAATGCGGACGAGAAAGGCTGCGGTATGTATTTAAAATGAGCAAAAAAAAAAAAAAAAGAGCCTGTATGTTCCAAAAGTCACACACTATGCGAAGGACTTTTAGTAAATACATTTTTTTACTTTTACAGCCTTGGTGTTGCCGCCTTTATCCACTGCAAAAAAAAAAAAAAATAAAAAATTATCTTACTTAGATTTTTGATCTTGTTTCTATATCTATATCTATATCTATTTATCTAAAAATTCTTACATTTTTTAGAAAAGGGAAAAAAAATCGTCTTGTTTTCAGAAATAATCAGTGTAACCTTAGAGTCAAAGTTAATTATTTGGATTTGTTTGCCTAATTTAAAGTATGTGGGCACAATAAATTTAATGTTTGTACCTTAAAGATTAATTATATATTTTTATAATTATTTACTAAATGAAAACAATTTCTTTTTAACCTTTATTTAATGTTTACAATGCAAATCCAATAATATCCACCTATTTGGTAAACAAAGCCAGATTCTCACATTATATATATATATATATATATATATATATATATATATATATATATATATATATATAGTAAAAGACAGAACATATTGCTTTGCAAACTGTATTGTAAATTGTGAATAAATCATACGTACATTTTCATATTAGTCAATAATATTAGTGTAATGAATTTACAGACAGAATAAATATAAATTTACACACAATTACACAAGTGAATAAATAGACTCAACGATGGGCTAAAAATCTGCAGAAATCTGTAGATTTCTGTGCGCATATTTCTTGTGGGCCTAGTCATAAGTCATTGTTTATTTAATTTGTATACTTGTTCTGTCATACTTATTTAAATTTGCTTGTAATTTTTTAATTGTAATTTACACCCATACAGTTGTCCAAAAATCCTCCCAATCAATCTAAAATCATGCATTGTTTACAAAGAGATATTAAAGTCATCTGTTGAAATTGTATTTATATCATAATATAGAGTTGAAGTCAGAATTATTAGCCCCCCTTTGAATTTTTTTCTCTTTATTAAATATTTCCCAGATGATGTTTAATAGTGCTAGGACATTTTCACAGTATGTCTCATAATATTTTTTTCTTCTGGAGAAAGTCCTCTTTGTTTCATTTCGACTAGAATAAAAGCAGTTTTTAATTTTTTAAACACAATTTTAAGGACAATAATATTAACCTCTTTATGCTATTTTTTTTTTTGTTAGTCTACAGAACAAACCATCGTTATAAAATAGCTTGCCTAATTAATCTAACCTGCCTTGTTAACCTAATTAACCTAGTTAAGCCTTTAAATGTCACTTTAAGCTGTATAGAAGTGTCTTGAAAAATATCTAGTCAAATATTATTTACTGTCATCATGAGAAAGATAAAATAAATCAGTTATAAAATGTGTTGAAAAAAATTTGCTCTCTGTTAAACAGAAAATGGGGAAAAAATAAAAAGGGGGGCTAATAATTCTGACTTCAACTGTATATAGCAGTAAAAGAAAATATTGCAATGTCAGTTTTTTCTAATATCATGCAGCTCTAGCTCATATTGCAGTTGAATACTGTGTAATTTACTAAAATCATTTACATTGTAGAAATGCTAGATATTAAACTAGAAACTAGACAAAAACTCTAAGAAAAGCATTTTTGCAGTGAATTTGCTTTCTTTTTCACCCATTTGTGATAGATTTGTGTGCATTTTAACATCTTTAAAATGACCTTCTGAATGCTCAGTGTGTCTCAGAGCAGCGTGCTGACAGCTGTATGAATATGGGCTGAAGCGCTGTGTATGTGGTGTGTTTAGATAATGTCCAGCGGGAGTGTTATCCAGGCGAATGGCCGTGTCCTTCTTCTGGTGTCTGCATCCCTTTTGACCACCTCTGTGACGGGACAGTTCACTGTCCTGATGGAGAAGATGAGACCAACATCACCGCCGGACGCAACTGCAGTCAGTTAAAATCTAATAATCATTCAACCGCCTGTCACACTTGCTGATTGGTGTTTTTTGTTTGAGGTTTTATGTTTTAAAGATTTTATTTCAGTTTTGTTTCTATAACTGAAGATGATTTTAAAGACATAAAATAATCATAGAAACAACATTATTAACAAAATAATCAGTATTAAATGGATTAAGGTTTTCATCGAGAATATATTATTTCTTTCAGTTTCATTTATTAATTTTCCTTCGGCTCAGTCCCTTTATTAATCAGGGGTCGCCACAGCGGTATGAACCGCCAACTTATCCAGCATATGATTTACACAGCGGATGCCCTTTCAGCTGAAACCCCCTCACTGGGAAACATCTATACACACTCATTGACACACACACACACACACACACACACACACACACACACACACACACACACACACACACACACGTTAGGGACAATTTTAGCTTACCCAACTCACCTGTACCATATGTCTTTGGACTTATGGGGGAAACCGGAGCTGCCGGAGGAAACCTACACCAACACGGGGAGAGTATGCATAAAGAACTCCATAAAGAAATGCCATCTGATCAAGTCGGGACTCAAACCAGTGACCTTCTTGCTGTAAGGTGACAGTGCAAACCGTTGAGCCACCTTGACTCCATTATTTCACTTTTATTTCTATAAAAAAATTTAAAAAATAAAGAAAAATCTTCAAATAATTCTAGTTTTTTTGTTTAACACGTAAATTATTTTATTTTAGCATTATTTCTATAATTCAAATGATCAAATAAATTAGATTTTTAATACAATAATATGGTGGTGCAATTAAAATAATTTTAAAGACAAAAATTATAAAAAAAACAACAACTGGCTAGTAACATATTGAAATTAAATGCGAAGTTTTTAAATAAAAAAAAATTATTAAGGGGGTGGCATGGTGGCTCAGTGGTTAGCACTGTCTCTTCACAGCAAGAAGGTCGCTGGTTCGAGTCCCAGCTGGGTCAGTTGGTATTTCTGTGTGTAGTTTGCATTTTCTCCTCCTTGAAAAAAACTAGCCCAGCCGGGACTCAAACCAGTGACCTTCTTTAACTTACAAAATAGATTTTAGAAAAATGTTGTTTTCTATATTACCATTCTGTTTAGCATTTGCTTACTGTCAAGGTATTTAAGGGTATCATTAGCTGTGTTTCCATCCACCTATTTTTATGAGTATTTTGGATATGCACATAAAAAAAGGTTGATGGAAGCGTCAAAATGTGCATAGATTTTGAAAATGCGCATAAAAAACGTCATAACTGAGTAGGATAAACTTTTTATCCAATAAGAAAAGATGCGCATAAACTATGATGGAAATACTTTTACCGAACAAATTCCAGTATGTGCATTAAACAAGGTCATGTGATTTTGTTATAAGAGATCATGTGATGATAAAAATGTGTGTGACTGGACAAACCAGCAGGCTGAGCACACTGTAAAACATCTGAAATGTTCTGGTCAATCTAAAACACCAGAACCGTTTCAGTATTAGTGTTATTTTATTATTAATGACCTCCAGAATCAAGAACGCCACCGCACGTTCACTGCATGTCAGGATTGCCTTCTGAGGTGTAAGTAATTTATCAAATATAGAAAATATTCATGCACTTTTTACAGTTGATATTTGGCGCCAGTTAATCAGGAAGTGTGGATTTTGTTCTCTTTGACTCATTGGATGGAAACACTGCTGTATTCGCACGTCTTTTATGCAGTAATTTAGTTTTGCGCATCAAGTCAATTCACATTTTTGGATGGAAACATAGCTATTGACTTTGATCCTAAACTACCAGAATCGTTGTATATGTTTTCCTTGTATATGGATTTTGCTGATGTGTGTCTGTGTTTTGTGTCAGGTATCTGGCGCTGTGCTTCGCTGAGCTGTGAACATCACTGTCACGCGTCTCCGGATGGAGGAACCTGTGCTTGTCCACCTGGATATGTGATCAACACAAACGACAGCCGCTCCTGCATGGGTAAAGCATTCCATTCATTGTTAAGTTCCAGAGTTTTCAGCGACTCATTTTATAGTCGATTACTGTGAACGTCAAGTTTTAGGTTTAATACCTTTAAGGTTTTGAAATTAAAAATTCTGAATTGAAATAAAGTTTTTTAGATGTCATTATCAATATGTTAGTCTTAAGGATATCTATTAGCCAGTGTGCTAAAAACAGTGAAAAAACTCCACCCCTTTTAGAAGATATACCCTGATGGAAACATCCTAAGCTTGCAGTTTGTCTCTTCCACCTAAATGAGTCAATGATTTTTTTTTTCACATCAACTCATACTTAAGTTTCTCATCAAATTTAGACCAATCAAGTGCTCTCCGGTATCTGCCATGCCCCGCCCCCTTTAATACGCTTCTCATTTGCTCTTCATTTGCTGCTCTTGATCTCAACCACTCTCACTGGCAGAGCTGTGATAAAAACGAAAAGCTATTGGCTGTTTTTTTTTTAAATGGGAGGAGCTACTGTCACACACTCTTTTCATTTGTCAGATAAGATTACGTCAAACATCGAATAAAAAATGCACATTTCAATGCACTTCACGGGACGTTTAGAACGATGATAACCCAGGGTTAAGAGCGGTGTGGAAAGCTCAAATCTGTAAGACAAGAATCCTGACACTGACGACTCCGTATTCTGTGTGCATTGTTCAGATTATGATGACTGCAGTCTGTGGGGAATGTGTGATCAGCTGTGTGAGGATCGCATCGGGAGTCATCGCTGCAGCTGTCGGGACGGCTACATTCTGGAGCAGCACAGATACTGCAGAGCAAATCCCTCATGTGAGTTCAGTCATGCCTTTTACATGCTTACAATATTATATTGTCATGATGTTTTGCCTATGATAGTGATATATCACAAATGAACATCCATGATTTATCACAGTATGTTTAAATGAAGACAACATTTGCCAAGTCACTTGATATATTTCATTAGTTAACAGTACATCTATTTAAAAACAATTAACAAAAAGAACAAAAGAACAATTATATATATACACATATATATATATTCATTCATTCATTTTCTTGTCAGCTTAGTCCCTTTATTAATCCAGAGTCGCCACAGCGGAATGAACCACCAAGTTATCCAGGAAGTTTTTACGCAGCGGATGCCCTTCCAGCCGCAACCCATCTCTGGGAAACATCCACACACACATTCACACACACACTCATACACATACACTATGGACAATTTAGCCTACCCAATTCACCTGTACCGCATGTCTTTGGACTGTGGGGGAAACCGGAGCACCCGGAGGAAACCTACGCGAAGGCAGGGAGAACATGCAAACTCCACACAGAAATGCCAACTGAGCGCTGGATGAGCGACCACATAGGAAAACTAGGTTGCTGTTGAAGGTGGTGTTAGTGAGGCCAGCAACTCGTGGTCTGTGTGAGTCCTAATGCCCCAGTATAGTGAAGGGGACTCTATACTGTCAGTGAGCGCCGTCTTTCGGATGAGACGTTAAACCGAGGTTCTGACCCTCTTTGGTTATTAAATATTCCATGGCACTTCTCGTAAAAAGTAGGGGTGTAACCCTTGTGCCCTGGCCAGGTTCCCTCCATCGGTCCTTACACATCATGGCCTCCCAATCGTTCCCATCCACCGAATTGGCCCTATCACTGTCACTTCACTCCACCGGTGTGTAGTGAGCACACTGGCACCATTGTCCTGCCGCATCATCCAAGTGGATACTGCACACTGGTGGTAGTATAGAGACCCCCCTCATGATTGTGAATCGCTTTGGGTGTATGGCCATACACAATAAATGCACTTTATAAATTCACATTACTTTCTATTACTTATTATGTTCACCTTAATTGGTCACACGTTGATTGGTCTAATCAGCAACAATGATGAGACTGCCTACAGGGAGGAGATATAGCATCTGGCCACTTGGTGCACCGACAATAATCTGCTCCTTCACACCAATAAGACCAAGGAGCTCATTGTAGACTTCAGGACGGGACACTGAAAACTGCCCAGCGCATCAAAGGGACCACCCTGTCGCCTTAGCAAAAAGGTCACTGGTTGGAGTCCGGCTGGGCCAGTAAGCATTTCTGTGCAAAGGTTGCATGTTCTCCACCGTGTTGGTGTGGGTTTCCTCTGGGTGCTCCAGTTTCCCCCACAAGTCCAAAGACATGCGCTATAGGTGAATTGAATAAGCTAAATTGGCCGTAGTGTATGGGTATGGATGTTTCCCAGTACCAGCTTGCAGCTGGAAGAGTATCTGCTGTGTAAAACATATGCTGGATAAGTTGGGGGTTCATTCCGCTGTGGCCAGCACTCATGAATAAAGGAACTAAGCCGAAGGAAAATTATTGAATGACTGTATTACATGCTTTTACACCAGCATCACAGCTTTCAGACGGATATTCCTGCTGTTAGCCGTTATCTCACATGTCCATTAATCAGGCTTTTTGTAACCCATCACTCTGCCTGCATCGCACACCATCATGTTATTAAGCTCCTGAAATGTCTGCCTCCCAACCATTTGTTTGGCAGCATCTGGAAAATGAATAACTAACGCTGGCACCACTCAGCCAATCCTAAACTCTCTCACATTAATTACGCCTTATCAAAAGTGCGTTATATAATGTGTGTTTTCTGAAAACTGTCAAGCTGTATCCGTCATTAATTCGCTGTGTTTGGTCATGTTTAGCTGGCGTGCCCTCGCTTATATTCTCCAACGGCAGAGACCTGCTGATCGCTGATGTTCATGGACACGGCTCTCAAACACTGGTTCAGTCCCAGAACAGAGGAGCCGCTGTTGGTGTGGATTTTCATTACCAGCTGCAAAGGGTCTTTTGGACGGACACAATCCAAAATAAGGTAAAATAGACGGCAGGATAACAAAAACAACAACAACAACAACAGTCTTTTCAAGTTGCATTGATTTTTTTTTAATAAAATAGCATTTTATGGAGGTAGATTAGTCTCAAGTAACATTTTTATTGCATTGTATGGAGCAGGAATAGTCTCAATAATAATTGATGCAAAATACACACATTTTTTCACTCTTTGTTATATTGCAGGCATTTGCTGAAATCATTTAAGTAAATTTTTTTCTTCATTAATGTACACATAGCACCCCATATTGACACACAAACACAGAATTGTTGATATTTTTGCAGATTTATAAAACAGAAATCTGAAATATCACATGGTCCTAAGCATTCCGACTCTTTACTGTTACACTCATATATTTAACTCAGGTGCTGTCCATTTCTTCTGATCATCCTTGAGAGGGTTCTACATCTTCATTTGAGTCCAGCTGCGTTTGATTATACTGATTGCTCTTGATAAGGAAAGCCACACACTTTCCATACCCACATATTGTATGTGTGTGTGTGTGTGTGTGTGTGTGTGTGTGTGTGTGTGTGTGAGCGTGCGTGTGCGTGTGTGTATTGAAAGTTCAAAATCTAGATAATAATTTAATTAGTTTTTAAATATTCATATTATTGATAATATTGCTAACCTTTATATACATTATTTTTGGAGGGTAATAATAGTAAGTAAAATATTTTATATACAAGACGTCCTATTTTGGTGTCTGCATAAATAAAGATAAAAAATGACAATAATTCAGTATTTTAGAGTTATTAAGAGTATTTCTTTTTCCTTTATGTCATCAATTCATTCTTGTTTTAAGTATGCCTACAAAAACCTTTTGGTATAAGCTATTTTTTTAATACTGAATTCCTTTTTTTCTGTAAATCATGGTAAAAATATGCAATGGAAAATTGTTTTGCAAAATTGCAAAACATTATTATTATTATTTATTTGTTTATTTTAATTATTATTATTATTTTTATTATTATTATTATTATTATTATTATTATTATTATTATTATTATTATTATTATTATTATCGTATTCTACATAATTTTTAATACTGAATTACTTTTTATTCTGTAAATTGTGGTAAAAATATGCAGTGGAAAATTGTTTTGCTCTCCAAAAAAAAAGAATAAAAAATAAAAATAAAAATAATACATTTATTTTTTTACTAAAATGTACTTATTCTAATGTACAAAAAGTAAATAAAAAATGCAAAACTGTATTATTATTATTAATATTTATTTGTTCATTTTATTATTATTGTTTTTATTAATATTATCATTATTGTTATTACACATATTTTTTTATATTAAATGACTTTTTCTGTAAATCATGGTAAAAAGATACTATGGAAAATTTTTTGCTTCAAAAAAAAGTGAAAATAAATAAATAAATGAAATAAATAAATAAAAATTATTTATTTTGTTTTTAAGGGTAAAATGTACTTATCATAATGTACAAAACAATCATAAACTTTATTAATAATATTTATTATTATACATTTTTTTAAATACTGAATGACTTTTTTTCTGTAAATTATGGTAAAAGTATACGATGGAAAATGTTTTTGCTCCAAAAAAATTATAATTATTTTTTAAATTAAAAATAAGAATAAGAATTATTTTATTTATTTTAAAAACTAAACTGTACTCATTTTAATGTACAAAAAGTAAAGCAAAAATGTTAAACTTTATTATTATTATTTTTAGTTTTATTATTGTTATTTATTGTTATTATTGTTGTTGTTATTTATAATTATTATTATTATTATTATTATTATTATTATTATCTTTCAGATAGTACAAATCCGTGTATCATCTTTGGCCCAGAGACGGTACATTTCTCACAGTCCTAATGTACTTCCAGCTCTCAGTCTAATATGTTTCATAGCTCAGTGTGTGGCTTTAATGTTTCCCACTTACATTCATTTAATGCTCTGGCACCTGCCACGGGCTCTCGGTTTTCCTGAATTTAATAAGTGGCATTTCACAGATTACTGAAGTTGTAACCTTGTCAGGTCGAGTGATATCGATGTTACAGTTGTTGTTGATAACAAAGCTCTGCATTATACGAGCTCTTCCTCCTTGGACATGTAGTAACGTCCCTGACCCACAACACACACTCACACACACCTCTCTAACAGCGTTTGGCTGAAGGCCCAAATAAAGTCTGGATGTCTCAAACAGCCAGTGCCAGCATCTTTCAAGCCTCCCTAAACTCTTCCTGAAGCAATCACGATCAAGCAATGCTATGTTAACCCTTAGAGAACCACAATGTGTTCATAATGCATTTAAACTCATGCATACAAATGCATAATAGAATATTCATTCATTCATTTTCCTTTGGCTTAGTGCCTGATTATCAGCGGTCACCACAGTGGAATGCTGGAGCACCTGGAGGAAACTAAGGGTGTCATGATCCTCCAAATCCTCGATTCGATTACATTTTCGATTCTAAAGGCACGATTCAATTCGATTTTCGATTATGAATAATTAATTAATGACCAATTAATTATTTGTAGCCTACCGTTTAAACTACCTGACCTGCATGGTCTTTGTTTTACCCATAAACAAATCATACAGTACATAAACATACAGTAAATGAATAAAGGCAAGATACACACATAATTACCACCTGTCAATCACTTTTTCTGCGGGACTCGTGAATAGGCAGTGGTCTGTGTCGTTATAGTGGTGTCGGTAAAAAAGAGGCACAACCAACAGGAACCAGCCAACAGTATCTGAGGTGTTCGCTAAAATGACTAAGTACAAGTGAGTGAAAGATTGAAGCAGTCCTCTGACTGCCTGGACCTGCTGTCTCAAGCTCATATGGCTGTGTGTGCGTCTGTGTCTGTGTGGTCACGTGATGTGCATTTTCAGAGGTAGTGAGGAAGGAGGGCTGCTCAGAAATGCTACACACCACTGTGAATGTCAAATCGTTGTCGTTCTAAAATGCCATTTAAAAACAAAGACAGTGTAAACAGGGCCTGTGTGTGAACTTTTCGCGAGAGGATTTGCAACGGGGGCGGGCGGAGGATCGCGATGCCGGTGTTGTCTATCGGACGAACCGTACGTAATACGTACATAGCAGAGCTTGCAAAACGGTGTTTTTTTTTGTCGACAACACGAACGTTGTCAACATAACTCACTGGAAATCCAAAATGCTTACATCCAAAATGCGACTTCATTGAAAGAGGAGAGGGTTTAAGCTCTGTCGACGGGTCTCCTGCTTCTGCAGTTTAACAAGCACTTCAACAAGCCTGTTTTTTTCCCGCTTGGCAAGTCATGCTGACGTGACATGGGGGCGTGGCAGCATCTATTTTTTTGATTCGGTAATCGAAAATAAAAATCGAAAATCGTGACACCCTTAGAGGAAACCCACGCGAACACAAGGCGAACATGCAAACTCCACACAGAAATGCCAACTGACCCAGCCGAGGCTCGAATCAGCGACCTTCTTGCTGTGATGACAGCACTATTGAATGCGCCACCGCATTGCCTGTTTTAATTTATATAAGAGATATTTAGATCATTTTATTTAGATAATCCAGAAAAGACTGATAGTATTTTAATATATTTTAATTTATGTAACAGATATTTAGATCATTTTGCATCATTGTTTTGAAAGTGGACTCAGAAAAAATATTAATACTAAAAAGCGGTAAAACAATCTATATTTTTGTTATATGTTAAAACTTGTATTTTGATTTGGCTAAAATGCAGATAACTGAATACAATCACAGTAAAGAAATTAATATATATATTAATTTTGAAATTTAAATACATCAATTAATGCTAAATTGGCTTAAATATATATTTACTTTTTTATTTACTCAACGTGTTTGTTGTTGGGCCGAAATTAAATTAAATTAAATTAAATTAAATTAAATTAAATTAAATTAAATTAAATTAAATTAAATTAAATTAAATTAATTAAATTAAATTAAATTAAATTAAATTAAATTAATTAAATTAAATTAAATTAAATTAAATTAAATTGCTTGTAAGAGTGCAAAAATTGTACCAGTTTTCTCTCAATTAATATTATTTAAGATAATAACAATAGGGCAACACTGTGGCTCAGTGCTTAGCACTGTTGCCTCACAACAAGAAGGTCACTGGTTCGAGTCCAGACTGGGCCAGTTGGCATTTCTGTATGGAGATTGCATGTTCTACCTGTGTTGGCGTGGATTTCCTTTGGACTGTGGGGGAAACCGGAGCATCAAAAGGCAAAGACATGTGCTATAGATGATTTGGCCATAGTGTATGAGCGTGTGTATGGATGTTTCCAACCCGGGTTCATTCTGGAAAGATAACCCCGCGGACGTTTCTGGAGACTGCAAAATACGTCCTGGTAGGTATGTATTTGTGCGAGCGCGCTGTTCTCGCGTAAAAAGCCGCCGGAGGCAACTGACGAGCGACCGTCTGTCCGACTGGCTGAATGACTGAACGAATGAAAATGGGCGACCCGGCCGCTCTCCTCCTTCTCCTCCTCCTTTTCTAAACTCAAGCGATGATTTACGAAAGCTGTGCGGAAAAAGAAAAGCCCTTGTCCCTTTTTGACCATGTTTTTGGATTTCACCGCATTCTCGCCACATTACGAACTCATTCGCTTTATTTTATGGATTCTGTTTTTTGTCTTACCTGATTTCTGGAACCACTCTTCCCCGGACCCAAACCCAGTCTCGAACGCGCCCGGGTTCTCCTCCTCCTCTGGGCCTCTGCTTCACCGACGTAACACGATGAGCTAACCGGACAAACTGGTTGTGGCGGGAAAATCCTCCACACGGAGGCGAGCCATCAGCCCAGCCGGTAAATGCAAAGAGGAATGGCGTCACACCTCCAGCCACGTAAATCACGGTCTCTAGAAACGTCCGCAGGCTACGTTTTAAGAATGATATTTAGATATTTAGATAATTTTATTTAGATAATTCTGACAACACTGATATTATTGTGTTATATTTTCATTTATGTAACAGATATTTAGATAGT